ACAAAGTTTTAGATCTCATCTCCTGGACATAAATGTGTATTTATTTATATGTTTCTAATAATACTGGGATTTGAACTTATGCCTGCTAGGTAGGTACTCTACTACTCGAGCCTGCATTTTAGAGTTCTGAGACAATACATAAGAAACAAGTAGCATCCAGCTATCCATTGGGATGAACTTTTCTTTAGGGCTAGCCTCAAACTGTCATTCTCCAAATGGTTAGCCCTCCAGAGTAGTTAAAATTCCAAATGAAAACAACTGCCCACCCACTCCCTCACCCCTAGAGGAGTGAGGAGCATGAGCACTGTGTGTGTGTGTGTGTGTGTGTGTGTGTGTGTGTGTGTGTGTGTGTGTGTGTGTGTGTGTGTGTGTGTGTGTGTGTGTGTGTGTGTGTGTGTGTGTGTGTGTGTGTGTGTGTGTGTGTGTGTGTGTGTGTGTGTGTGTGTGTGTGTGTGCATGCAAGCACCAGTCTGGGCTTGAGCTCAGGGCCTGGGCATTGTCCCGGAGCATTTTTCCCCCTCAAGGCTAGCATTCTACCACTTGAGCCACAATCCAACTTTTTTTTTTTTAAGGCTAATTGATGAGTCTCATAGATGACAGACTTACCTGCTTCGGCTGGCTTGGAACTGTGATCCTCAGATTTTAGCCTCCTGAGTAGGTAAGATTACAGGCCTAGACCACTCACACAGGTGCCAAAGGCATTTGAAAAACAAAGCTTCAACGTGTCTTTTAAGTGGCACCCATCCTTTAAAACCACTGCCCTCAGATGTTGGTAATTCTGTTCTCAGGAGCCCCAGCTGGATTTAGTGAGCATTTGAAAGATGTTAGTGAACTGAGAGCTCCAGCATCACCCTTGTAGGTAGAAGATCTTTGTTATTACCACTAGACCTGACACACTTTTTAATAAAAGAGGAATGGGAAAGAAAGTAAAATTCCTGCTGAGTCTCATTTAAATATTCCATTAGCTCCTTTTGCCTATGCCTTTCGAGTCCTAGAGTGGAGCCCGGTGCTGTTAGCTAGCATGCAGTTGCATTAGCTCTGAGTATACTTTTTGTGTCAGACTTTGTATTGTCCAGAGCAGAGGACCATGCTTCTCTGAGTTTATAGATCACTTGTGTTGCTCTTTCCATCTGTTTACATGTATGATGGAATTTATAGTGAAACTCATTACTTACTGTGTGTGACAAGGCAACTGCTAGAAGGGGAGGGAAGGGATGAGACCTCCAGCTTTTACCTCCAGTGTCAGAAGGCCTCCAGCATTGAGAAAAGGAAATCTCTGAGGTGAGCAGTCCAATTGGCTCTTACCCAGGGCTCTGGGTAGAGATATTTTAGTGTGTCCTCTGTCCTTCAGAAATGAAGTCACAATGATGCTATCATTTTGTTCAATAGGTTCCCAGTACATCTCTGTTTCTTAAAGTCAGGTGATTCCATTCCCGGCTTTCAACCTCAAGCTCTGCTTGCTTCACTTTACTGACCTCCCTTTGGCATTTTTGAATGTGTAACTGAGCTATGCTTGGCTCAAAGGAGGCTTGGGCTCCTAGGCAAGCTATGTCAGCACTTCTCCGAGCCAAGGAAGGTAGACAACAGCTGGGCCTGGGTAGCTCTTAAGAAGAATGACAAATGAGTGATTAGAAGTACAACAGTGGAACAAGGTGTCTTCCAAGTCAGAATCTGGCTACAGTCCTTGGACTTTTCCTTTTAGTGTTGACTTAGGTGTTTTAAGGACAAGAAGTATCAATAACAGTAAAATCTTATGCATTATAAAACTACAGCAAATAAAAACAATTCCTGAGAGTCTGGACAAGATGGTTCATACCTGTAATCCTAGCGCCAAGAAGGCTGAGACAGGAGGATTATGAGTTGAAGGCCAGCTGAGACCCTCTCCCAACCATGCCCTCAAATGACCTGCATGTTCATAAAAGGGAAGTAGAAAATAAGAAATGCTCTACCCACACATGAAAACCATTTAGTTGTCTAAAACAATGAGAATTGTTTGTGCTGATAGAAGATACTGTCGAAGAGATTATTGTGAAGAAAAATCAAAGATCAGATCAACAGTCAGTGAGATCTCAACCTAGCAACAATCTCTCTGTGCTATTTTAATCTTTAACAACCATACACTTATTAGCTATATAGTTAAACTATACCAGGTTGGGTGATGGTGGTAGCTAATGCCTATAAACTGAGATCTGAAGATTGAGATTCAAAGCCAGCCCAGGCAGATGAGACTCATCACCAGTTAACCATCAAAACACCAGAAATGGAAGTGTGGCTTAAATGGTAGGTGCACCAGCCTTGAGAGAAAAAAAAGCTAAGCAAGAGACCATGTGAAGCCCTGAATTAAAGTCCCAGTACTAGCACACAAATAAAAACAGAAAAGAAAAATAGAATATTCCCACCCTGTATGAAGAAAGACAAAAATTGTCCTTGTCACTAAGGTCTGGCACATGAACCTCAGGTGGTATCTAGGTACCTTTTTCATTCCTAGATGCCAGCAATAAGTGCTTCAGGATCTCCTTCACCTCTAGTTTTCTCTTTCCATAAGCAGGATTATAATTCTGCTTACTTCTCATTTCCCCCATTGAAATACATAAATCTGGAGAGGAGGGGGAAATGCATGTGCAGTAATACTAGCAGAGCTTAAGGATCATTCTCTACTCATTCTGGCCAAAGGTGTATAACAATGCGCTGTTAAATGATTTGAGATCCAATTAGGAGCTGTGTTGTTTTAATTCATCCTATGCCTAGTTTGAGGCTCTGATGAAATGAAATCAACAATTGTAAAAATGTATCTTCCAGGAGAATTTTTTTTAATCTCAGGGATGCTCCTTAAAATAAATCACAGAGAGCTTTTCTCTTATTGAGAAATTTTAATCTCAATGTTGATGGATAAGAATGGCTTGAAAATACAATTTTGCCTTATACAATGTCTAAAATATATTTTCAAAAAGCTCGTCTTTGGGGTTGGAGCTCAGTGCTAATACACTTGTCTAGCATGTGCTAGGCCTTGGGTTCATCTAACCACACATACAAAACCCTCAAAAAATGGATTCTCTCTTAATAATGATGAACTGGGTCAGCACTAGGAAAGATTGACCCAGCAGTGATTTTGCTAGCCTGGAATATATCCCAGCTCATTCCATCACTTGTTCCAGTGGAATTATTTGCAAACTTTCCTGGAAACTGTACGGAAGCAGCCAGGTATGACTGCAGGAGCAGAGAGCTGGGGAGCTGGGGAGCTGGGTTAGTCTTCCCAACCATTTTGTATTCTTTGAGTTGACTTGAGCACCAAAGAGACTTTTAATCAGTTTTGTTTGGGCACTGGGTCTTGGTAGGAACTGCTATAAGAAATCTGATCTGGGCTCATTGATTTCTGTTTCTGATGAGCAGAGTAATGGTATATCTATCTGGGAGATTTCCTTTAATCATCTCTCTTGTATGATAGGACATTAGAACAGAAAACCCACAGCACAAGTCATTCAGAAGATCCTCCTTCAGTACTCTTTCTGTTTGGAAGGCAATTTCTCACTCTGCAAGTTCAAGAAGTACCACACATCAGCTGATCATTTTGAGGGGCAAGACAAGAAAGGCAGTTACATTTGTTGAATGGTAAAGTTTGAGGAGAGATACACACAAAAGAGTAAAAAAAAAATGTAATTTATACAATCTTCCACTAATATGCCCTTTTTTTCATTCTTCTTTTATTTGAAAAATAAGATTTTAAATGGCTTTGGCAAGTAACCTCAGTTTCTCCCTGAACTGTAGGGAAAGCCTCAATATTTTTCACAACTTAACACCTCAGAGAAGAAAAACCAGAAAGGTCTTTTACACCTTTCTCCAAAACAAAGCTTATTGCCTCTCTGGCCCTTTGTTTTAGATCTTGTGTAGTATCATTTGGGTACTTTGGAAAAAAAATAGGTTCTAGGAGGACTCACCATAAATTCCTGAAGTGAGGCCGGGAAACCATCCTTCCTTCCTTCCTTCCTTCCTTCCTTCCTTCCTTCCTTCCTTCCTTCCTTCCTTCCTTCCTTCCTTCTTTCTTCCTTCCTTCCTCACTCCCTCCCTCTCCTTCACCTACCCTCCTTCCTTCCTTTTTCCCTCTCCTCTTCCTCTTCCTTTTCCTCATCACTGAGATAGAATCCAGGGCTTCACACATGTTAGGCAAGGATGTTACCAAAGACTAAAAACTGCATTTTTGACAAGCTTGCCCTAGAGACTGTTTCCCACAACATTCCTGAGTGCTCTCAATGACTGAATCAAGGTCACGTTTTTGGCTAATCACCATCTCATATAATCTATCTCTGGACTACTGTGATCCATTTTGAAAGAAAAATGCTCCAGTTCCTATTCTGTTTTAGAACACAGCATGTCATATGCTAATTCTGGCCAGTGACACCATAAAATAAAAGTGCATTACAGAATGCTTTCAATTTCTTAAAATGATGGTAAGGTGGCATGTCATGGGGCCATTTTAGCCCCAGACATCACTCCAGAGAATTCCAAACAGATATAGACAAGTGCCACTGAGACCCTGATCCTTTCCTCTAGGGCTGTTTACCCATGAGGATAGGATAGCTCATCCCCCAAGTGAAGTGCTGATAATTCCAGTTATCAGAAAGATATTAGTAGGAGGATGATACACAGGACATCACAGTTTCTTGATAGGTTAGTCATATGAAAGCTGACAAAGAAGGAAAAGGAGCAGTGATGTGTGGTGCAATATCAACGGACAGCTGTCCCCGCTTCCCGATAAATAGGATGACTTGCATTGCTGAGCGGTGTGGTCACTGCCAAAGGAATGGCCCTCTCACATTTCTTTCTGATTCACATATTCAGTGTGGCCAGCTTGTCACCTCCCTCCCTCTTGAGCTTCCCAGACACCAAGTCTGGAATGAAAATTCACCTGCCTCTGAGTTGGCCATCAGTGTGGTGGGGGGGGGGGGGAGGTTTAACTTGGGTTCCCAGGTTGGAAGATTATCTCACCCAGCACAAGCTATATAAGCTGAGTGGTGTTGGAGGCGCTGGACAGGGCCATTTCCAGGGCTTCATTCCACAGGAGCAAAACATACAGACACACTCACCGCCACCAGCATGATGATGCTGAAGGTAGAGGAGCTGGTATGTAAGACACATTCTTTCAAAACAGTGAAAACTGCTGCCTCTTGGGTTTTATTTGAGAGTGGAAATGCTCTTTTCTTTCAGGCATAGTGAAAGGGAAAGTCTGAAAATGTCATATGAGGAAAAAGGTTGCTTTGTGTAATGAGAAAAAAAAAATGAAGTTGCCAATAATGAACTATCTGCATAGGTCCTATTTATTATCTCCTTCATTTGTTTTATGACTAGACTGTGGAATTACATATAGTTATCAAAATGCCTTAGGATACTGCAAGGATAATGCATGGAAATTGTATAATTCAAAGGCAAGAGTTACCAAAATTACCTAAAAGAATGAAAAGGAAATTTAAGTGTGGGGGCATGCGAATTTCTTAGGAGAAATGTGATAATGTATATTAAAAGCAAATTAAAATATTTCAATCTGACCTAGGACTTTATTTAAGGACAAGCACCTGGAGCTATTCTGGGCTATCTATAGCTACTTGTTGCAGCTGAGATCTGAGACAGAATCTCTGTCTCATGGCCGTTAGCAAGGAGCAAGGACGCAAGGCCTCACATAGAATCCTGTGGGGAGCCCCACCGCTCCTGACCCCACCACCCTTTCCTTGTAGGTCACTGGGAAGAAAAACAGCAATGGGGAGGCAGGGGAATTCCTCCCTGAGGACTTCAGAGATGGAGAATATGAAGCTGCTGTCACTTTGGAGAAACAGGAGGATCTAAAGACACTCCCCACCCACCATGTGAGCCTGGGGGAGCAACAGTGGAAAAATGAGAAGCAGCGAGAGGCAGAGGTAAGAACCTTCCATAAGACCACTCCCACATGGGAGTTTGGGGCTGGGTGGGGTGGGTATAGCTAGAGAGAAGGAGAGAAAATAAAACCATTCTATCCAAAGATGTTTGTTTACCAAAGTCAATGTATGTGAGACAGCTTTGGGAAGTAATTCTCTCCCCTCCCTCTTTCTTCCCCCTCTCTCCCTCCCTCTCTACCTTTTTCCTCTCTCTCTTTTTTCTCTTTTCTCTTTTCTCCTCCCTCCCCCTCCCTCTCCCTCCCTCTCCCTCCCTCTCCCTCCCTCTCCCTCCCTCTCCTTCTCCCTCCTTCTCCTTCCCTCTCCCTCCCTCTCTCTCCCTTTCTCTCCCTCTCCCTCCCCTTCCTCTCCCTTCCTCTCCCTCCCTCTCCCTCCCTTTCCCTCTTCCTCCCTCCCTCCCTCCCTCCCTCCCTCTCTCTCTCTCTCTCTCTCTCTCTCTCTCTCTCATCCTTCCTGTTCCTGGGGTTTGAAGCTTGAACTCAGGGTCCGGGTGCTATCCATGAGCTTTTTTTTATTCCCCCTCTCAAGGTTAGCACTCTACCTCTTTAATTGGAGATAAATTTCCAATTGGCTTTCTTGCCAGGCTGGCTTCAAACCATGATCTTTACATCTCAGCCTTCTGAGTAGTTAGGATTACAGTCGTGAGCCACTGGTGTCTGGCTGGGAAATAATACTTAAGTAAGATCATCACCTCTGCATTCCACATCTATGATCTAATGTGCTAGGACCATGCTTTGATTGAAAGACAGGCTTGGAAAGACAGTTGTGTTCAGTGAATTTCCGGCGCCATAAATCATCTACTTAACCTCAAACAAAGGAGATCATTTTCTGAATAAATTGGTTTGTGGTCCATGGATCAATGTCACACCGTGTCTGCTATCTATTGACGCCACATGTTTGTTAAATTTTCTTTAGCTACTCATACAGATTAAAAAGTGCATTAGTTAGCTGGTGGTGGGGAACGGTCTCTGGATAAATCTTTTCCAGACATACACCCTCCCCCAACAAATAGACACCTGAAAGAGTGACAATGACATTTTAGAATTTGTTTATTGTTAGATTATTTGGGGTTAGAAAACAATTTCATCTTTGACCATGATTTTAAAAAAATTCTACAGAAATCTGGGGCTTGTTTGTAGTATTAATTCCAAAATTAATTCATTTAGAAGCTAGATTGAATTTCCAACAAACCAAAGGCTGACTCCGTAAGTAACGAAATCAAGAATAAGACAATCAAATAACTGGACATAACATATAGACTGAAATCAAATATTTACTTCATTTCTTTTGCCCAAACCATGCATCTAATTACCTGAGACCCTGCAGGTATTGTTTAGACACTACCAGAGAGTATGTCAGTAGGATTCTTTTTGTTTTTAAACTATGGATTTCTTTCTTAGCTGAAAAAGAAAAAACTAGAACAGAGATCCAAGCTTGAAAATTTAGAAGACCTTGAACTCATCATTCAACTGAAGAAAAGGAAAAAATACAGGAAAGCTAAAGTTCCAGTTGTGAAGGAACCAGAACCCGAAATCATTGTAAGAACTACGGGGTTTTGTGGGTGGCTGTGTTATGCTAAAGGGGGTGAGCATGGAGGTAAGGGGGTTGACTGGATATCTGGAAGCATCTTCCATACTCTTCGTTTGTGTGTTTACTTTAGACAGAACCTGTGGATGAACCTAGGTTTCTGAAGGCTGCCCTGGAGAATAAAGTGCCAGTAGTAGAAAAATTCTTGTCAGATAAGAACAACCCAGATGTTTGTGATGAGGTAAGGCTGATACTAAGCACTACAAAAATATAGCTTAATGCTTTTGTATTTCTTATCATTTTTTGTGTACTCACATAATTCTAGCTGGTTTAGATGAGAGCAGTTTATCTTTAACTTCTTTAGAATTTGGGGGTAGATTTTTAATAAGGCAGGGTCAGAAAGTAGTTTGAACATTATTAGCATCATCTTTGAACAAATATACATGGGCACTAGGCAGAGAATCTAGAAAATGGGATTCAGGTTCTGGCTCTACCACTACTTGTCTACTGTATTTGATTTTGAGCAGCTCATTTACTTTCTTCTTACCGCAATTTCTTTATATATAAGCATAGGCCACTGGAGTAAAATAAATGCTTAAAGTCGTACCAGCTCTATTAGTCTATTAATTCTTTCATATAGAATCAATTTACCAGAAATCATTAGCTCTTTCCCTATGAACTAAAATGGAGATCCTATAAAAATGGATACTTTCGTTTTCTTAAAAATGAATGAAGTTGGTTTTTTCCCATAGTTAATCTAGAAATAATTCTTAATGGGGGGAAAAACCTGTTTGAAATGCTCTACAAACAAGAGTTCACATGTCTCAATGTCGGTCTTTGACCACTTAGAAATTTATTATGGCAAGATACTCAACTTCCGGCTGCAAGATAATTGTTCTAAGTCTGAAATTCTAGTAAACTGTGTCTTTCTAATTCATAAAGAAGCACTGAAGTGTCTATCTGTTTGGGCATCAGAGCCCTTAGCTTCATGCCTCTTAAAGGATTATGTGTATTTATATACGCATTGCTATCTTTTTTAAACATCTCTGACAGTATAAACGGACTGCTCTTCATAGAGCATGCTTGGAAGGACATTTGGCAATTGTGGAAAAGTTAATACAAGCTGGAGCCCAGATCGAATTCCGTGATATGGTAAGTATATTTCTTTGCTTGGAAATGAGCCAAAGTAAGTAGATGGAAGAAAACTTACCAAAAATAAAAAAAAATAAAAAAGCTAGCCCAATTGGATTGAAAATTGATCTGAGAGAGCTAGGCAAAAACTCATTTCTTCATACAAAGGAAAGTTGGGAGATGGGACCAGGTCATGTGGAAGGTATTTTCATACATACTGAGAAGGTGAAGTGTTTCAGAAAAGGGGAGGAAGTGAAAGCTGCCGAACAGCATTCAACAACCTCACCAGGAACTTGGGTCATTATCACGTCAGTGGCATTACTGAGAAGTAATGCAGCTGACCCTTTCCTTTCAACACCCCTGTTCTTCCATTATGTATGGCAGCCTGCTCGTGGCCCCTTGCAATGTGTAAGGATTCTCTACATGCACCCTTTGTATGATAGATGCCAATTGCTGTCAGTGAGATTTGGAGCTAGACTGCATACTAAATGAGTTGCATTGAAGGGGAAGTAGTTGCTTTTCAGACCTTAATAATTCACCTACTGCAATTTCTACAAAGACCTGTGTGGACACAGCGTATTTGATGGAATGAAGAGTGAGATGGGAAACTGCTCCCTTTAATATCTTCATGGCAAGATGGAAAAGGAAAAGGAAAAGGGCTGGGAAGGTGGCTCAGTGGTAGAGTGCTTGCCTTGCACACATGTGGCCCTGGGTTCGATTCCTCAGCACCACATAAGCAGAAAAAGTCAGAAGTGGCGCTGTGGCTCAAGTAGTAGAGCACTAGCCTTGAACTGAAGAGCTGAGGGATAGTGCCCAGGCCCAGAGTCCAGGCCCCATAACTGACCAAAAAAAGGAAAAGGAAGAAAGAATCCAAAGGGATTGGTTCAAACTGGATCCAAAGACCAAACATATTTTAAAAAATTAAAGACACTAAAAAAAACAAAAATGATAATGAAATGTGAATGTGAAATCTGAATGGTCAGAGGTGCCAAATAGGGCAGAGAGAAGTCCATCTTCCTCAGGCCCACAATGTACCGGGACTACAGGGAAGAGACAAAGCCAAGGGGCAGGCAAAGAGCAACAGAGACATCCCTCCCCGCCCAGGGTGCTTCCGACCTAGACTAAAATATTTTGGAATGTTACTATAGTTATGAATGACACACATGCGCACTCATGAGTGCACACGCACACACGCATTTAGCAAGAACCTTCAACCACAAGTTACAAGTGGCCGGGTAGTTGAGAGCCACCGGGGCTAGTCGCAGTCACCATAGCAAACCTGTGCTCTCCTGAGCCTTGCAGCCCAAGTATGAATCTTCAGATCTGCTTCTCCTTTACCCAGTCCTGTCCTTTTACCTTCCTGGATAGCTTGAATCTACAGCCATCCACTGGGCATGCCGTGGAGGAAACCTGGATGTCTTAAAGTTGTTGCTGAACAAAGGTGCCAGAATTAGTGCCAGAGATAAGGTATGTCTCCTCCCTGGCTCCCCTCCCTACTCTCTGCCACCGCCCCCCTCCCCGCCCCGTGCATACTTCCTAACCCCCTGTGCACTGAGATAGTCTGGAAGCAGGTGACGGGCAGACACACCTGCCTGGTGTATGGGGCAGTGTCTGTCCTCACTCCCCAGGAATCAGCCCTGTTTCCCATCTCCCAGCTGCTCAGCACTGCGCTGCACGTGGCGGTGAGGACTGGCCACTACGAGTGCGCGGAGCACCTCATCGCCTGTGAGGCAGACCTCAACGCCAAGGACCGGGTGAGTAGCCTGCACAACGCCACCTCCAATGGCTTCAGCACAGCTTTGGAATCACCTGGCCAAGCTGGAATGCCCTGGAGGGGTGGGGGGCATGTCCTGGCTTCAGACCATCCGCCAAGCCTTTGATGGGGCTTTTTCTAGGAAGGAGACACGCCCCTGCATGACGCCGTGAGACTGAATCGTTACAAGATGATCAGGCTGTTGATCATGTATGGCGCTGACCTCAACATCAAGAACTGTGTAAGTAGCCAGAACAAGGACGTCCTTGGCAGGCTTGCTTCATTTCCAGAATTTCTTAAACATAGTCCATCACAGTAGTATTTGGGGGTGGAGCCTGGTGGACATCTTCTTGTTCAAATGTTCCTGGTCATTTGCATAAGGGGCACACTTGGAGGAGGATTTGGGTCACGTGGTCAAGAGATGAGGGAAGTGAGTCATATGATTAGAAATGCAGGAGGGGAGAGTTACTACTGAATACCATGTCTCTTTGAAAAATTCAGTCCTGAAAAATAAAAGGTCAGAATATGCTTCTTGGGGAAGTCCAGTCTGCCTTGTTCATTCCTAGCTGAGAACCTAGGGTAGGTAGGGATTTGGCCCTCCACCATTTCTGAAGAGGGCTAAAATATCACAGTGGTTAGTAATGGTGAACTTAAATTAATCTATATCGATTTGAATAACTCAGGCTAGTCCTTCTCTCCTTAGAACAATGTACAATGCTACCATTCTGTCTCAGCGGTGATTTAGCTGGTATTTATCAGATGACTTCTACCCATTCTCCACTGTGGTTTAAAACATGCACATCTCCAAATAGTTTCTTTTCTTTTCTTTTTTTGTCGGTCATGGAGCTTGAACTCTGGGCCTGGGTGCTGTCCCTCACCTCTTCAGCTCAAGGCCAGCACTCTACCACTTGAGCCACAGTGCCACTTCTGGCACTCCTACTGGAGCTGGCTTTGAACCACAATCCTCAGATCTCAGCCTCCTGAGTAGCTACTCAGAATTACAGGCGTGAGCCACCAGCACCTGGCTCAAAATAGTTTCTTGTATTTAGGTCCTAAAAAAATTGTACATAAGTGCCTATTAATTTCATCTGAAAGAAGGGAATGTAAGCAACTTTCCCTCGTGGTTTTCATTCTTAGACACTATTATTTACCATGAGTTTAAAAAATACTAGCAGGAAGAATAAGTATAAATTAGTAAAGAGTTGTTCAGTGCCTTCAGGAGCAGCTCAGGAGTATTTAACCTAGGGTGCTGCAGCAGCACCATTGATTTATAACTCTTATTAATTCAAAACCTTTCTTTCCTCCCAAATCAATATGATTGAGAGGTATGTAGCCACCTCCCAGAGCCCATGCTACAGCATATGGAGATGTCTATAGGCATTGGACTGTTCTTGCCACTTACAGTCTAGAGGGATTTTTACCAATACCTGGGATTATTCCATGGTGAGGGGAGGGGAAGCCAATGTAAAGCACTAAAAGCACTCCATGAAGCCCAGTGAGGGTTGTTTGGATCAATTGCAGATTACTCATAGTGGAAACCCTATCACAACTACACTATACCTCAGTAGGATACACAGAGAGAAAGTATGAACAGGAACATGTTGAGTTTCCTCTTCTCTTTTGACTAGGCTGGGAAGACCCCAATGGATCTGGTGCTGCACTGGCAGAATGGAACCAAAGCAATATTCGACAGTCTCAAGGACAGCGCCTACAAAACCTCTCGCATAGTGACTTTCTAAGAGACCCACACTCTCACACTGGGAGCTCTTCATTGGCATTTTGAAAGCATGGCCCAAAAGCCACTAGCTAGAAAAATCCAGCTTTTATTCATCAACTTGTTATGAAGATGTCCCAGAAAGTGCACTGATAGGCATTTAAATTTCCTTTAGTGAAACTCATAGTCTGTGTTTATTTATTCCTCCTTATTTGTTCAATGGCCTTGAGATGCATAATTGCACAAACATCCATTAGGTGAGCAAAACTTCATTTGTATTTAACACTTTCAAGCCTTCTCATAGATAAAACTGTAGAGTGAGCAACGTGCCAAGTGCCTACTTATGTGTCCTCACTCACATACAATGTTTCAAGGTATTTCCGAAAGACAAGGATGGTTATTGCCTCCGTCTGTTCTTCTGAGTTTTTAATGGTGATATTTGAATGAAGCAATGGAAGGCAGGTAGAGACAGGGAAGGAGAATGACAAGAAGACAAAAGCAGTTCTGTGGATGGGACAGTAAAGCCATTCCACCTCTGAAGGGGACATGGAAGCTAGCCATTTGACCCTGAGGCCTGGTGGGATTTTTTTTTTTTAACTGAGTCACACTATACACCAAGGTGAAGAGAATGTCACGAGGGTGCAGTGGAGGGAGTGGTCAATGGGGCCATTGAGTTTAATGAAAAAAGATGACAGGAAATGTAAAGTATAAATGTATAAATGTACATTGTGTTATATGTATATTTTGTATTCATAATAAAAGCAAACTTAAAACCTCTTTCTAAGTTCCTTTGTCAGTACGATGGAAATGTCCCATGTAAGAAAGTCCACTTAGGAAGGTTTTTTAAAAAATATTTTTTTATTGTGAAAATTCTATTCAGAGGGGTTACAGTTACATGAGCAAGATAATGAGTACATTTCTTATCAAGCATTGTTGCCTCTTCTTTGTTTTTCCCCTACCATCTCTTCCCTCCCACCTCCACAACTACACACCCCTCCCCCCCCTAAATTGTAAAGTTCGTTTTTTAGCATAACTTCTTATACATCTCATGTTACAATGGGTCAGCCTATATCCCTATTTAAACAATTTGTTTTTTCCTTTCCCCTCCCCCAAATTATACCAACATCAAATACATTGAAAACAGGGGTTATACCATGGGGGAGGGACATACAAAGTAACAAAAAAAATCACATGGCACCTTATAAATACATTAGAAACAATAGCAAGAAAGAAAAAAAACCACTTGTGTCCTTATCTTGGGGTTCACTTTGCTTAACATCATCTTATCTGAACTGTCCTGTATAAACAGCATAATCAGTATATAATCAGATCACCTGGTGATCTTGTTAAATGTGGGTTTGGATTCAACTGGTCTCAGGTGGGGACCTGGGAGTCTTTCTAGGCCTCTGCACTAGAAGCAGCAAAGCCTAAGGCAGTAACTATTCAGAGTTCTTTCCCTTCAATGGTGTGGCAAAAGCGTCCCCTTTTGGCCACAGTGGTTTCTGCAAGTTAAAAAAGTTTACATTCCATTATTGTTTGAGTCTACTCAGGTGTTTATCAATCAGTCACTATGCTGTGAACCTGGGCTGGTAGGTCAAAGGCCTTCCAGGAGACGTCAATAATTTCTGAATGCCAATAGGAGCTGTTTTGTTGTCAGATTATAAGCCAGGTGCTAAGACCGCTGGTGAGAAAAATTGCTCCTCTCAGCCTTCCTGGAATAGATGAATATTAAAATATGTTCAATATGACCAGCAAGTGTTTTGGATTCCCCGCCCCCCACACAAAACCTAGTAAATTCAAGTGTTTATGTTTATTGGATATTTTGGGGAGGGGGGGTTAACTTGCTCCAATTTTCTTCTAAGTCAGGTACTCTTGAAATGAGGATTCTTGTGCAAGTGATTTACTTAATGAGGAGGGAACAGGACAGGGCAGAAATGAAGCAAAGTTGGCTTCAAGAGAAAGCAATCTTTAGCCTAATCCCCTCGAGGTACTTGGGATCAAAATTTGTGCCCTAGAGGTCAGAGGCTGGGCTATGAAGGTTCAGCACCACTCACTGGTATGGGCCAGATTCACAGAGCAAAATTCTGGACACGGTGACTCCTTTCAGCTCAGGAAAGGCTCTGGGGAAAGGTGAAGCTGCATTGGAAGCATCCAGAGGATAGGCTTGCCAACTGGGAAGGAGATCTGGGCAGACACTAAAAAGTATCTGTCATGCGTGAGTCTCATACACTTTCCTGTCTCAGCTGGCTTCGAACCATGATCCTCAGATCTCAACCTCCTGAGTAGCTAGTTTCAGGCCACCAGTGCTTAGATAGTTTTAGGTTGTACTGGAGTTTGAATGCAGAGCCTTGCACTTGCTAGGCCCCAGCCATTTTACTCTGGCTATTATGAGATAGGGTCTTTTTGTCTGGGCCAGTGTAGCAGCCCCAGTGGATAGAAGGGTGTTCTGGAAAGTCTGAAAACTGTCATACCAGCTTCCAAAGGGGGCTGTCCATGATCTTCTCAGTGGCATGATGCTCTGTAATTCCCTCTGTAATGTGGAAGTTGTGACAGGCCACCTTGGCCAGGAAGGCTAAGCAGCTGGGAGGCGGGGGCAGATGTACTGATACTATTACATGAGTTGTGGTAGTTTTCATAGTTCTTGCCCATCACAAACATAAGCACAGCAGAAGGGAACAGAAAACCTCTTCTGGATGGTAAGACACCAGAGGACTCTACAGCATCACCCCATTTAGTGTTCGTAGGATTTCTTTTGAAGGAGGGCTTCTTATTGTTGACAGCTTCCTGTTCTAGCCTCAACAGTGCCACTGAACTTGTGATAGGTGGAGACCAGCAGACTATGAAGCTGAGGTCAATGAAGGGTCACTGATGGCAACAATATCCACTTTCCCAGAGGGTAACGCAGAGTGCTGGCCACCCACCTGACCCACAGCTGTAACCCTGATGTCACCAGCAGGATGTGGCCGGCACTGCATGAAAGCTGCAATCTGCTGAAGGCGAGAGGCAGAGCTGACGGTCATTCTTTTTAATAACTGGCCTTTCTTGTTGCAACTCCAGGCTGATGCTCTCACTTGACTTTGTTACTCAAGACTGGTGCTCTACCACTTGGGCCACAAATCTACCCCCTATGACCTTTTCCTAAGTCTTTCCAAAGCATCAACTCAGATAAAGGTGAAAGATTTCTATGATCGGAAGAGAAACCAGAATATCAAAGCATCAACTTAGCTGGGAGTTCTCTGACCCTAAAGCATCAACTTAGCTGGGAGTTCTCTGACCCTCTTAACTTAGTCTTTAAATTAGCTTGCCAAATTTATAGTATTAAAATGCATTTGGTACAGACTTGTAAATACTCACTCATGAATTCCAATGGAGTCAATGTTTTTAGAACCAAACTTCTTAATACATATATGAACACATACACATACCCTTATACAAGTGTGTGTGTACAATTTCCCTCTATTTGCATTTCTGACAAGTTTTATTTTGCTTTTGTTCTTATGTACCCTACGTTGGCCTTGAACTCACAATCCTCCCATCTTAGCTTCCCAAGTGCTACTGTGTGCAACTAGGCCTTGTACTTGCTAACAGTTTTGCTATTCATAAAATCAGGAGTGAAGCTATATCTTAGAAATCATCTTTTGATATCTATTAAAATATTCTGATTTTTCTCATTTATTACATATATTATTATATATTTCTCATTTAAGTACATTAGAAAGAATTAAAATATTGAACTATTGTATATTCATGGAAAAAAAATCTCATCCATTTTAATGGTTATTCTTTGCTCATAGTTTATTTAGGCACCTTCATTCATAAGTGAGGTTATAATAAAATTTTCCTAGACCTATCTATCTTATTTTTGTCTTGGGGATTGAACTTATGGCCTCATACATTGTAGACAAATGCTCCTCCACTGAGCTACACTGTGAGTCTCCTCAAACTCCCCCTGCCACATACTTTTTAAAAATGCAAACCCTACAATTCTTCTTTTGAGGTAAGAGCTTTCTAAGTTTTCCTGCTATCCTAAAACTAGTGCTATTCCTGCCTCAGCCCCTGAACACCAGAGCTGCTAAGATTATAGTATGCACCACCATTCCACCATGTCTTGTAGGACTTGCTGTGCTAGGTTTTGTTTGCTGTTTTGATGGCTTGAGTCTAACATTTTGGTTTCTAGCTTTAAATGAAAACAATCTATCTTGCAAAAGTTTTATTTCCATTGAGGATGAAGTGTGAAGGGGAAGAAGGCAGGGTTACAGACTGAGTCATCCCCTTCAGCCCTCACATTTAGCTTTCTTGCAGACTGGAAAAGAATCATCCTCCCCTTCTGAGGATCGAGGCTTCTTCACTGTAGAAATAATTCCAAAAGCAGTTTTTCTAGTTTCTGTAAAACAAAAGAAGCACAAGAATCACAATGTTCCAAGGTAAGACATAAAGAGGTTGATTAATGAGTGACATCACATTTTGTTGGCTTGGAGCACTAGTTAATGATAAAACCCCTGTGAACTTCTGCAGATGCTGACACCATTATCTTTTCCCCCAACACAGACAGCCTGCAGTCTATCATCAACTTCAAATTCATCCCTAAGGACCACCTCCTGGGTAGAACTGCAGGGCAGCTTTATGTCTAATGGTCTGTCCAGGCATAATATACAGTCAGCACTGGGTCTAAGGATTGCTTTATGAATGGTAATTACAGCAGTCAACAATACTGTTCCCAGTGTCTGAATTCACTTCATTTTATAGCATGTACCACATCTTCTTCTGCACTGTCAATAGGCCTCTCAACAATCTACTGTATTGCCTATACCTAACAATAGCCTGGTTATAAATCAACATTCAAAAAATGCTTGTTGAGTGACTGAATGACATTTTATATACTGGTGACAAGGAGCAAAACAATGGCGATTATTTTGTATGCTCAGATCAGGATGGGACAATATTCAACTGAAACTTAGTTAACTTCTGAAAACCCAGAAATGAACCCACAGACCTCTAGCCACCTAATCTTCGATAAGGGTGCTAGAAAATAGACCGGAAGATAGCCTCTTCAGTAAATGGTGCTGGCAAAATTGGTTAATCATCTGTAGATCCTTATATATCACACGCACCAGAATCAACTCCAAATGGATCAAAGACCTTGGAGTCAAAGCAGACACCCTGAAAACATTACAGGAAGGTATAGGAGAAACTCTAGGGATCCTTGACACAGGCTGAAATTTTCTTTCTTTTTTGGGGGGCGGGGGGGTCCGGTCATGGGGTCTGAACTCTGGGCCTGGGCACTGTCCCTCAGCTCTTCAGTTCAAGGCTAGTGCTCTACCACTTGAGCCACAGCGCCACTTCCGGCTTTTTTCTTTTTGCTTATGTGGTGCTGAGGAATCGAACCCAGGGCCTTGAGCATGCAAGGCAAGCGCTCTACCACTGAGCCACCTTCCCAGCCCTGAAATTTTCTTAATAGACACCCACATACAACAATGAAAGAAAGGTTGGATAAATGGGATTACATGAAGCTGCAGAGCTTCTGCATGACAAAGGACATAGCTACCAAGATCAATAGAAAGCCCACGGATTGGGAGAAGATCTTCACTAGCCATACAAGGGATAGGGGTCTCATATCTAAAATATACTTGGACTCAAAAAAATTAAATCCCCCAAACAACAAACCCTCAAAGAAACAACTGCCTGGTAATAAGTGGGCTAATGACTTACAGAGAAACTTCTCTGAAGAGGAAAGAAGGATGGCCAATAGACACATGAAGAAATGCTCAACCTCTCTAGTCATAAAAGAAATGCAAATCAAAACAACATGAGATTCCACCTCACCCCAGTTAGAATGGCTATAAATCAAGAACTCTAATAACAACAGATGCTGGAGGGGATGTGGCCAAAAGGGAACCCTACTGCATTGTTGGTGGGAATGTAAACTTGTTCAACCACTTTGGAAAGCATTATGGAGGTTCCTCAAAAGACTAAACATAGAGCTCCCCTATGACCCAGCAATCCCACTTTTGGGCATTTACCCAAATGATCACAAACAAGACCATATTAAAGCTACCAGCACAACTATGTTTATTGCAGCATTATTTACCATAGCTAAGATATAGAACCAACCCAGATGCCCCTCAGTAGATGAATGGATCAAGAAAATGTGGTATATATACTCAATGGAATTCTATGCCTCCATCAGAAAGAATGACATCACCCCATTTATTAGGAAATGGAAAGACTTGGAAAAAAATTATATTAAGTGAAGTAAGGCAGGCCCAAAGAAACATAGGCCCCATGGTTTCCCTCAATTTGCAATAACTAGTATATGTCTGGGACAAGCAGAAAATGTCAAAAGCTATGTACATATGATGTTAAGCAAAATGAACTCCAAAATAGGGACACAAATGGTTTTTTCTTTCTTGTTATTGTTTCTAATGTACTTATAATGTACCATATGATTTTTTTTGTTGCTTTGTATGTTCCTCCCCCACGGTATAACCCCTGTATTTGATGTTGGTGCCCTGCATCTTGTATATACACTTCTCTAATTTTAGGCAGTGGGGGGCAGGGGGAGGGAGTGGAGTGTAACTGTGGAGGTGAGAGGGAAGGGATGGTAGGGGAAAAACAAAGGAGGAAGTAACGATGCTTATAGGAAATGTACTCATTACCTTGCTCATGTAACTGTAACCCCTCTGTACTGTGTTTTTACAATAAAAACATATTAAAAATGCACCTGCTGTTTTTGCTTCCCTAACAAATGGGTTAATATATTATTTCTAACATCTCAGTTCTCTAAAACAGTGGTTTTCATCATGGAAAGCATACCCCGCAAGAGAGGAGGGGGGGTCAGGGAGATAAGCCTGTGCAGTTTGAAAGAACTCATTCATTGGTTGTCTTATGATACACACTATATTCATTTGATAAACTACAGAAAGGAAAACCTGAAGTAAGGGTGAGACAGCGCTGATGGGTCTTAAAACAGGTTGAGAAACGATGGCTGTAAAGGCACTGTGCAAAGCAGATATGGCTCAGTTCAGTTTTTACAGGAAGATCTTGCTCACCTCCATGGAGAAGCGCCACTCGGCAATTTGTGGATACGGCAGCCTTGGCATCATTCTCAGAGAGTCCAAACAGCAAACCTCTGGTGGCACCATTAAAGATCTCAACTGGAATCAGAGAATGAGACTAACAAAAACAACTGAAAACGCTAGCTCACTTAGTTGCTTTGAGAGAAAGCCTAATTAATTCTATAGCAGTCTGTGTAGATTGGAAACCAGCGTTGGAACTAGTAGCTGAGTAAAGAGAGATTCGCTGAACTCTGATTTTATCATAGACGCTCACTCTCCTTCTCTACCTCTCACTTAATCTAAAAGGTAAGAAGATAACATTTTCTACAACCTGAAGTAATCTGATTTGGAAGCTGCTAATCAGTAAACTTACAATTAGAGATTGATACAAATTTAAGAACACTTCAAATTCCCTAAAAGAAAGTTTCAGCTTCCTACAAAGGAAAGGATACAAGTTTGCCACATCGTAAGGCCCTCTTATTTCCAAAGGCTAAAAGAAATGAAAAAAAAAAAGTATGAGAGAAGTTATTTATAACACTCAAACAGCTTTATGTGGCCATACCTGAGAATTCAAATAAAGCCAACTACACAAACTTAGTTCCTCATAACTTTAATGGGTGATGGAGGTTGTTGAAAATATGAACAAACCTTGAAAAGTATTTTGTAGAGTCAGGTTACTTTGAAGGACTAGGTAGGAGGATTATAGCTAGTCTCAGGTAAAAACTTGAGACCCTATCCAGAAAAATAACAAAAGCAAAAAAGAGCTAGAGGTATTAATCGACTGGCAGAACATTTGTCTAGCAAGTATAAGGCCCAATTCAAACTTCTGGACCATCCCAGGGAAAAAAATTACAGATAAAGTTTGAAGCTTTGAATGAAGATACATCTCATTATTTAGCAATTACTATATGAAAATGCAGTTAAAATAGAAAACAGGTAATTCTTAACATTACTATTTTAGTTTTTATCCTATAAACATGGGGTTTTTTTTTTAGAACTGTAAATTATTCTATGCTATGCTTACCCTTTCTGCTGCACTGGATATAATTACATTCTATAAAACAAAAAGTGATCAATATTAATCTTGAGTAAAGATAGTAAAAATTGAAGAATCTTATACAAATAACTAGTAATCCCATTGTAACATTAAAGGCACAGATAACTTCTATTAAAGATAATATAAATGAAAAGCTTCATGACCAACTAATGGTTGCTTATCAAAAGAAATAGAATAGGCTCTCCAAATACATCTTAGTAAAGATGAATTAACTTGTAAAAATCGAGTTGGAAAAGTCATAAAATCTTAATTTCACCAATAAGCAGTTGCTATCTTGATGGTTCTTTTCAAGTGGGTAAAGAGCATATATATATATATATATATATTTTTTTTTTTTTTTTTGGGGGGGGGGTCCAGTCATGGGCCTGAACTCTGGGCCTAGGTGCTGTCTCTTAGTTCTTCACCTCAAGGCTAGCGCTTTACCACTTGAGCCACAGTGCCAGTTCTGGCTTTTTTTTTTCTGCTTATGTGGTGCTGAGGAATGGAACCCAGGGCCTCAGGCATGCAAGGCAAGCGCTCTACCACTGAGCCACCTTCCCAGCCCCAAAGAGCACATTTTTTATCAAAAGATAAATGCTTTCATCCTTCCCCTTCCTTAAAGTTATTCTTCCCTTGAGATTTTTTTTTTAAAACTTAACTTTGTAGAGATCATTGGACTAGGGAAGAGGAATTTATTGTGCTGCTTTGAGAATTTTTTTAGCTTTAAGGAAAAAGTATCAACTTGCCAATTCTAGTGATTGAAGAAGAGAAAAACCTCCAGAAACTCTGGGAGTATACCTTTCCTTTGCAGATCTGCATCAAATTGAGGGCATTGGCTATGGTGTACCTCCTCATGGTGGAGTCTCTGATAGCTGGGCTATAGACAAGTTCAAAGCTCAAGCCTCGGTCAATTGCCTTCAGAGGAAATAAAGGAAATAAATTGCCAAGGATAAATACACAATATCCTATTTAAGTCCCCCTCACCTTCCTTCCTACCCTCTATCTACCCTACACATCTCCCACAAGCCTTGCTTTAAGCAAAGGCATATTTATACACAAAAGGCACCACCACAAGAAGAAAACAGACAAGGCTGTTCTTGACACATAAAGTTTATGCTAGCTGTGAGGAAGCTAACTTGATCAAATTGGGAATTACAAAGAAGATAAGGATAGGGAAGTACCAGGGGGGCAAATAGGCTATGTGTAGGGAAGGGAAAACAGATGAGCTTGTTACCCAGAGGGTTAACTGTAATTCTGATAGGAGTGGGTAAGTAGAGAATAACACCACAAAGAACCCAGGAAACAGGTGCAGCACCACAGATGGGAAAACTTTGCCAAATACCCTGCTTTGCCATTGTCCCAGAGCAGTGGCTGACTGTAGTTACTGCTGTTTTTTGGTATATCAGCCAACCAATGGTCTTCAGTAATGACTTCAACAGAGACTTCTTCAAGTCTGAGTTTAGCCAGAGGCCTCATTTACACTTCATTTAGTTAGAGCTTCAGGCACACATCTCCCCTCAAATCATCATTTTGGCTCTTAGGATACCTCCACTCCCCACACCCTGGTTCCTGGACATGCCCTCTCATTTCCTGGAAAACTCTATTGTTACATAAATATTTGTAGCATAATCCCTACATTCTGTCCACAGTAGGGCTGAAGACTGGGAACACATGTCTGCTTGGTCTGGTGGCCTGTCCTCAGTCTCCCTTAAATGTGTGCTACTGCCTTATGATCACTTGCACTTCAATAAAATCTAGTTTTTGACTAAATAAATCTGCTCTGTGAAAGTGTGTCTGCCTCTGAATTCCTTCTTCAGTGAATGCAAGGACTTGCCAATTTGACCCAAGAATGAAGAAAGAGACAAAGAAAGGTTTGAAAAAAGGCCCAAGGAGTGGATGGGAAGGACTCTCAGGCAAGTCATTTATTTACCTTTCTCCATTAGACAGGAAATACAGGGCATGAATGATACAGAATTGTATGATCAGATCCCGAAATATTCCTAATTAACTAAAGCTAAATTTTTAACTATTTACTATTTGAAGGGACGGGGGGAGGGAGGGAGAGGGGCTTTCTGGGGGCGGGAGTGGGGAGCAAAGACATAATTATCAGCTTAATTTTTTTAAACACAAATTTGATCCTGCTACATCAATCAGGTTCACTTTAAAATTGCCAGGAAAACTCTTGAGAAACTGAAAGATAATGTGCTATGGAAGGTTGTGAATATTTCTTTCATAACACCTTATTTTACATTTTTAGATGGATAGAATACACTCATTACCTGGGCTCCTGCTTCTAAGGCCATTTGAATGTAAATTGCTATTAGCTCATCAGATGATTGCTCATAATAGCCTCTTCATAAAGAATGACAGTCTGCCTGATTGCCTTTTGTTTGAAAGTCTGACCAAAGGTTCAGAAATAGGCAGATGATCAGGTTTTTTTACTAATGAGAAATAATAGTCATAAAGATGCTAACCAAGGGCAGGTGTGTGACATTTCAATACTGGCAATACAATTCTAAGTACTCCAATCATAAGCAAAGCTGCAGAGAAAGAAGAGAGGACAAAAAAACCCAACAAAACAAGGAGCTGATTAGGAGGAGAATGTGCTGATTCCCTGTTAATTTAAATAATTCAAAAGGATAACAATCTTTCAGTGTATCATTTTTTAAAACAGGCAATTTCATGGCTCACAGCCAAAGTAACATAAGAAAACAGAATAAAGTCTTACTTGCTTCTCTGCTTTTACCTGTCCCATCCAAAATCACTTTCAGTAATTTCTTGTGTGTTCTCCAGAATTACTCCATAAAAATATAAGTATTTTTGACTATGCATTTTTTTTCCCTGTTCTTTACCTAACAGGGAGGCTGCTACAATCTTGACCCGCCTAGTATGAGAGCTTTTCCACATTAGCAAAGAATTTCCTCATTCTCTCCTCTAGCTGAATGCTACTGGATACAGACAGGGCATATATAGTACTTAAGATGCATCTACTAGCTAGACTTGGGTTGTTTCAAGATATCTGTGGAGGGCTGGGGCATGGCTCAAGTGTGTTCAAACCTTAGTACTACCAAAAAGAAAAAGAAAGAGGGGTTGCCAGTTAGTAAGAGATGAACTGTGTCCCTATCCATAAAAGATATAGTGCATTATTAACCCTTAAGATTCTTGTTAACTTTTTTAGAAACAGAGTCATTACTCAAGTAGTTAATACTGAAAGTGGGAAGGGTCCTAATCTAATCTTAGTGTGCTTTAAGAAAATGGCCATGTGAAGGCAGAGACACACAAAGAACTGAATAAACTGTGGACACAGGGGCAGAGGTTGGAGTTAGTATGGCTGCAAGCTGGGCATTGCTAAAGGTTGCTGGCAAATCATGAGAAGGAAGGAAGGAAGGGACAAGGAAAGACTCCTACAGATTGGAGGGAGATACACCCTGCTAACAACTTACCTTCAGAACCAAGAGGCAACCAATTGTGTTGTTTTAACCACTTGGCTTATCGTACTTTGTTATGAAATCGAATTTAGCAGGCTGAGAGAGGAAGGATTGCAACTGGAGGCCAGCCTGGGTAAAACGTTTTCTAGCCTCTATCTCCCCCAAAAAGCAACAGAAAGTACTGAGATGTATCTCAAGTGGTAGAACACCTGCCGAAGCAAGTGTAAGGTCACAAATTCAAACACCAGTAACACACGCACACACACACACACACACACACACACACACACACACACAATAACTCAGTAAAATTGAAGCCATTGCTGCAGGACAATAAGATTGAAAAGAATTCACCAGTGGGGAATGTTTGTAGACTTGGAATCAAACCTTGAGTATAAATCTAGCCAACTCTTCAAGAGACATTTAATTAAAAGATGAGAAGGTGAATTCAACTTTGGATGATTTAGGATTACTATACAAGTTCCTTAAGACTGCACAGAGCTTTTGTAGAAGATTTTAGAGGGAACTGTAAAACTGAAGTTATGGTGGCCTTATCATGCAGCTGAAGATGACAAAAGTGCTAGTGCTGTCAAGTATACAAATGCAATGTTTTGGTGTAAACAGTGTTTTCTCTAGCTCTTGAGCCCTCCAAAATCCCAATTTCTAAGGTGCTAATTGTCACAAGCCTTCTGGCTTGTCAATAAAAGACTAATGAATTACCTATCTTAACACTCCTGCTTTTCACAGTAACAAAAGAATAGAGCACAAAATCCAACCAATTAAGATTGGTGCAAGGGCTAGAGGTTCCGTGTTAGAGCACGTCTTGTGACTTCAAACTTCAATGCTGAAAAAAATAAATCTGTGCTGTTTCCTCAAGTGCTCAATCAAGTGATTCCTATAACACTAATTGATAACTTCTCATGGCTGAAATTCTCCTTCGAGACTAGCTGATACCTACCTGTACTACACATGTTATGTTTTCAAAGGGAGAATACTTCTGTTTTGTTTTTTTTTTGGGGGGGGCGGGGAGTCTGGTCATGGGGCATGCACTCTGGGCCTGGGCGCTGTCCCTCAGCTTTTCAGCTCAAGGCTAGCATTCTACCACTTGAGCCACAGCGCCACTTCTGGCTTTTTTCTTTTTGCTTATGTGATGCTGGGGAATCAAACCCAGGGCCTCATGCATGCAAGGCAAGCACTCTACCACTGAGCCAACTTCCCAGCCCAATACTTCTGTATTTTAAATGCACATGAACATCTGGATGTAGATGAACAGTTTCCTTATCAAAATTAGACTTGGTTACTTTTATAGTTTGAATTCTGATGTCTCTTTTTTTTTTAGCGGGGGGGTGGGGGGAGTGATGGAAGAAGGTTGATGGAAGAGGTGGGCCCTTGTGAGGTAAGAAGGCTGAGTCTAAGTAACGTCTTGCAACCATCCTGGTTGCCTCTTGCTGGGTGGAGGGAATTCTCTACCCAGTGCTGACAAGCCAGGAGGTGAGAGAAGCCATACATTGAATGCAGAGGCCTAGCTCTAAATGAGCTAGGAGGGCTCTGTTTCTGAGAAATTCAGATGCCATAGCTTTGGTAAAGCTTTGCATATAGAGAATGTTTTGATTCTGCATTGATTAACTCCCTAAATGGCTTTAATTGCCAGCCTCTGAGTAGCCTCTGAGCATACCCTATAAGGAAGGTTGAGGCTTATCTTCCCATAAGGGAAAAAGTTCTGCTGGTACCCGAGTATGTCTGGTTAAGGTCTGGCATTCTGTCTTTATGGTGGGGGAAAGTGACATCATCCCCCCCTTCCCCACCTCAGGTGGAGGCGTACCTGAGTTCCTAGTGACAGGGGTAGGTACTTGGCTGATAGGTTACTGAACCTGTCAGTCCAGTGCCTGGGACTGGGAGTTTTCCTGTGACATTGCCCCCTGAGCTGACCTATTTAGGCCTGGACCAGCTCAGGTGCAAGTACGCCATGCCACATGTCTCCATGTTCCTGTCCTGTCTCTGGTCTCCTGGCTGTTCTCTGGTCATCATGGTATTCCAATTCAGCTCTCCATTGGCGCTGAACTGGTTTGTTAGTACTGTTTTTGTTCTTCTCTGGCCTGTTTAACTAACTGTGCTGTGTATTTGTGGGCTGCAGGCCTTTATAACAATTGGTTGCCTGCAGACCACTAGTGCTCCAATAAAGACTCTAAGATTCGAGCTCTCAAAATGTGGCTTCTCCTATTTTCTCATCTTACAACACTTGAAAGGGACCTTGGTGCATGCACAGACATACAAACACACACACACACACACACGCTCCTTCTTCTCTCCATCCTTTCTTTCTCCTTTCTTCCTGGCAGTTTCCAGTACCATACACTTCTCCCATGCTGCACCATCTTGCCATTCACACATATAGAATGACTATTATGATCCAAACTACAAGTTGGACACCTGCATGTTTCTCGCTTTCTCTCTTAAATGAAAAATAAGTGAACAAGTGAATAGGGTTAATTCTGCTTCCAGACCAAACCACATAAGCAGTCTACTTCTATACCAGATGATGGCTAAAAATAAATCTTGTGCAGCCTTCCCTTATACTCCGTCATCCAGTTTTTATTTAACATATTGTAAAAAGTTCACACTAGATTTTCTTTCTCAAAACTAGACTCTGTTAAATATTGCTTCTCCCTCTCACTTTTCAAAATTTTTACTTTTCAGAATTTTTTAAATTGAAAAATGTGGGAATTCTGCGCAAAATGCCCATCACACAGCAGCAGCTTTCTTGTACTTCCAGATGGAAATAGGTTGCGGGGGCGGGGGGGGGTGCCTTTGACGGGGGTGAGCTGTCCTGGTGCCTCTGCCTTGAGTGCCGTGTCCTCCTTCTGCTGCCCCAGTGCCCTGCCTGCCTCCCTTACTGTGTGTGCTTTCTGCCTAACCATGACAACCACACAATAACCAATGATAAACACCCCGGCCAGGTGCTCCAGGCTATACCCTGACATGCAGAATTAGACATATCCTGCTTCAAAGAAGAATAATTACAGGAAAGACTCATCACAGGCAAGATACTGAGGCAATCAAAAAAAGGTCTGGTTAACATTAAGGCACGTTTGTAAGAAACCCAATGAAGAGCTCTCACCATATAGTCACTGGGAATCTTACCATTGTGGTGGGACACAAGGGATTAATTATATGCTGTGCATTGCTGTCCTTTCCACACTTTTGGCCTTAGTATCACGCACTGTCTCCTTTCAACCAAGGACACAGAAAATGGACTTCCCAGTTCATTAAAGGTGAAAAGATGAAAAAGTTGTTAAGGTTTGGTAACAACTTTTAGAAGATGTTTATACAAGACTGGGTTGGCAGCCTGGAGCTGGCAAAAAGGTGAAGCCAACTTCCAAAGGCAGAGATTGCTATATGTGAAGAGACACAGTATGTGACAGGCACCTGTGCATGCTTGTGCTTTTATAATACACACCAGGGGCATATCAGATGTCTTCTCTGACAGGAACCAATCAGAACTGTTCTAATTGTCCTGTGAAGGAAGGGTTGAATGACTTCTTGCTAGTCCACATCTGACATGCTACTGAATAACACAGGTCTCCAAGTCTAAAATGTGATGATTCTGGGTTATCTTTAATGCTCAGTTAGAAGTACTGGCACCAACATGGCAAACCAAAGATGGTGCTATATGCTCAGCAGTAATTTCAGGATTATCAGAAAAGAGCTGTTTTAATTTTCCCTTCAAGTACATGACTAGACATGTTTTAGTACTTTTCAGGTACAAGTATAGTAATATAGTTTCCAGAAGTAGGACATAAGTCAAGTTAAAAATTTGTTATACCAAATGGATCCATTTTCTCCTTTGGTCTCCCTCAATACTGAGGATTCCTTGGCAAAAAAAAATCAGACAAATATTGAGGAAAAGAAAAAGGGAATTATCCACTTCAGAAAAATTGATGGTCTAATTCTGACTAAAATAGATATATAAATCCGAACTATATCTGTCAAATTTCTTTCTTGGACAGTAGTTTTTGAGAATACACCCAGGTTTTGGTAGCTATGATTCTACATCAGCATTTCCAGTTTCCCAAACAAGTAGTTAACAACTGCTGACTTCATAGCTACTAAACAGTCACTGATGTGAAACAGCGTCACCTTTATAATGGAAATGGATTGTGGCTTACAAGGCAGTGTGACCCATGGAAGATGAAAGGTATGGGGAAACATGAGAAATTATGTAGAAGGGGAATGAGAAAAATTCTATAGCAAGAGGGAGGAAGTAAAAGTTAAGCACACGAGTTATTAGAAAAGTAACCCTGGGAGTTTGTTTTGTCCTTTTCCGTACGTTTTCATTGCTCTATACCTTTAATGTTCAATTTTCAGACTGCAAGTGCCCATCATTATTAGCTACCATCTTAGGAAATATCCTTCATAGAGCCATGTATATTGATGCACGCCTATAACCCCTGCACTAGGGGTGCAGAGTCAGGACACTGATGCAGAGCCAGCGTGGGCTATCTAAGGAGGTAGTGAGACTCTATGTCAGACAAACAAACGAAAATACTTCATAAGCTTCAACTTCTAAGGCCTTCCAAAAACACCTTGACAATAAGTGTATTATGTATTACTGTTTATTTTGGAGATCGTGTCTCACTGTGTAACTCCTGGGCTCAAGTGATCCTTCTGCCCCAACCTGCTGAGCGTCTGGGACAACATGACCAGCTTGGATTCTTAAGAAAAACAATATCTTCTTTTCTAAAACTCCCTCCTATTACGTCTCCTTTTTTCCCCCTGTAGAAACATGGTTTCTTCACTTCCAATTTGCTAATGTAAATTCCTACAAAGTTATAAAATTCAAGAGATAACACTTACCACATTAATAGGGGGTCTTTTGAAGTAAAATGGTAGTTTCTCTGTTAAAGTTATGCAGACTAAATCCACGTCTAAATGTGTGCAAGCAACCTGTGAGGAAGAAAAAAATAGGTAAGGGCTAAACCGTAACCTGGCGCAAGTAAGAGTAAGGATAGGGTCACACCAGATAGAAAAACCTCCGTGGGCATGCCTCACTTCATAGGCTCTGTGATGGTCTGTGTTGAAATATATCTGATCTATTATGAAGCTAATTACTTAATCATTCCTTAGTTTGGATGGTTTAACTGAGACTCAGCTGAAATAGAGGGGCATAGCCATGAACCTTCTCAAAAGATAAGACCTGAACTCCTTTGACTCACATGGTTTTCTACAAAGATCTGGGCTGCTAGGGAGGCTCAACACTTAGAAGGCTGCCTCAGAGTATCCCAGAAACAAGACACTGTTCCCAAAATACAGGGAAGCAATTTGCAAAATGGAATTCATGTATGGTCCAGCTGTCCTACAGTCAATTTACTGGACATCTTTACCATGAATTGTCCTAGGTCTGAAGGTTTAGTAAGTCTATTAAGTGGCAAAAAACACATTAATTTGGTATTATGTGTCCTAAGGCTATGTTTCCCTACCAGTATACTGTCATCAGTAAATACCTGATTTTATAATAATAATGAAGAAGAAAAGCATGGCATTACTGATATTGGGGTGAAAACACCATGGACATGAGGAAAGAAGAATCAGACAGAATGAAAGGAAGAAGGGCTAGATAAATGGTAATTCTGAGAAGAAAACAGGAATGGTAGTAGTAGCTGCCACTGGAGGAAACGAGAGGGAGTTTTAAGTGGATGGAAGGTGTACCTTTTTTTTCTCTTGGTTGGTCGTAGGGCTTGAACTCAGGGCCTTGGTACTGTCCCTCAGCCTCTTTGTGCTCAAGACTAACACTCTCCCACTTGAGCCACAGGAAGGCATACTTTTTATGCACGCCCTTTTACTAATTGTGTTTATTATCATAGACAAAATTTTTAAAAAAATAAAAGTGGTTTATTTTAAAAAATTCTGTGAAAGGCTCTCCCCCAGATGGAGGTAAATTAGGACACATCTTAGTTATATATTTCTCCATTATGTTTCTACTGAAGATGTAGACAATTAAACAAGGATCTGTGTTGGTTTAAATTTGTGAACTATAATAAACTTTTAGCTATAAAGCACCACTCCAGTTGGCTCTCTCAGACACCTGGAATTTAAAATGCTCTAAACAAAAATATTTGATTTTACTTTCTGTGAATCCAAATGTTTAACTGGCACATTTAAAAAACCATAAAAGCTAGGCATAGTCATGCCTGTAATCCAGAATTTCTGAAGACAAGGCAGGGAAATGTTGAGGGAAAGGACTGGTAGGCCAGGACATAAATGTAATGGCAGCTATTCAGGGGGCTAAGGCAAGAAGATACCAAGTTCGAGGCCAGCTGGACCAACTTATGAGTTTCTGTCTCTGTAAAAAAGTCTGGGGACTGGTAAGTGGATATTTAACATGTGCTGGGTTAAAGCCCCCATACTCCAAAGAAATAAAGTTTTTATTTACATATATAAATAAAGATTTTATTTACATATACAAATAAAAAATATATACAAAGATTTTATTTACATCATATATTTTCCAGTGTTTTGTTTCCATAATCACCACTAAAGTGCCGGGGGAAAAACATGTGCATAACCCAATGTTTTTATTGAATCACAAAACTAAGTTGTCATTGTTTCACATATTTGGGAATGCCCATGGTCCTCCTTGTACGGTACACCAATGGTTTCAACACTGAATCACTTTTTGTAATGGAACTTGAGGAAACATACATAGCTTCAACTTCTATACAGAATGTGCGTTGACTTACTACTTGCATTTTACTTTCACTTATCCCTTTAACCAAAATAAAATTCCTGAGAATCATTACACTTTTGTATTTTATAAAGCAATCCATAAAAAAAAAAGAGATAGGTACCCATGGATAATCTGCAGTGTTTCCCTATAGCTATGTTCACATAATCATATAAAATGTCTATCAAAATGAACTCCAAGAATGGAAACGAGAGGTTTTATGTTAGTTTGCTTCTTTTTTTTTTAAGTCATTTCTCACTGTTTTTTATTTCTGTTCCTTCTGACCTATATGAAAGTTTATCTGGTTGGGGGAGGGTAAGAGAAAGCACAGAAATGGTGGGACAAGGTGAACAAATGCAGCAGTGACACTCACGAGACACTATGCTGAAAATGAACTTGGAACAAGTGACACTATTCAAAAAGAAATGTACTCATTTCCTGACTTATGTAACAGTAATCCTTACTTACCTCACCTTTACAATAACAAAAACAAAGTTTTAAAAAGATTGGATAGGGTATCTAGTTATCAGTAGCCTCTAGCCAACAGCTCCATCTACTGGATAAACTCAGGGAAAAAAAATCTTTCTACAATTTTCGAACAGATTTTGCTTTAACAGATTTTGAGATACACTTCTGCCAAAGGGATCTTTTTTTTTTTTTTTTCTTTCTTTTTTTTTTTTTTAAATTTTATTTTATTTTATTTGAGAACATACTGTACAGAGGGGTTACAATTACATGGTCAGGATAATGCATACATTTCTTACCAAGCATTGCAGCCTCCTCCTTTGTTTACCCTTCACCTCCCTTCCCAGCCTCCCCCCTCCCCCCCACCCAATCATACCCTCCCCCCCCCCTCCCCCCCCCCCCCCCCCGACATTGTAAAGCTGGTTTTGACATGACATTTTGTACTTCTCATTGTTGCAACAGGTCCACCTGAATCCAAAGGGATCTTTTTTTTAAAACTTAGATAAGTACAACTTTCTGAAATTTCTATAAGTAGCTATACTTAATTTTTTCACAGTAACATATTCCTTAAAAGAAATAATATATGTACATATATGTATATATATTGTTTATATCTATCTGTATTTTTTCCTTTACTATAACAAGTGATACATGCATGTTAAACTCTGCTCTTCTCAAAAGTGGGCAATTTAAAAATAAAAGCTAACTTTGAAAGTATAAAAGGAAGGCAATACATAATGTTTTTTAGAACAGGAAAGGGAATCCTATTAGTACAATATAACTATAAAAATTTCTAAAAGAATTTCTGGAGCAGGGATAGAGAAACAAGAGGAAACTTGGTGACCTCTTTCTACCTGGTCTACTGATGTCTAACGGGATGAATAAAAACAAAATAAAACCACATGCCAGTTAAATATATCCCCATGAAATCCCAGGACTCCAGGTGTAGTCTTGTAAGTATCTTGACAATGTAAAAAAGGTCATGTACAAAGATACAATATCAGATTTAACATAAAATATAACTTTACTTACATGAAAAAGCTTTTCTGTCTTTGGAAAAACCGCGACAATATCATATAGCCGGACCCTGGAAGAAGTTGCTCTCTAGTAATACAAAACACATGTCACTACACAGTAGTAAGAAATATAAACATGGAATTCTGTCTAGAGATCTAGTTACACTTAACATTTCAACCATGACTTCTTATATGTTATTGACATTTCTGTTTTGCTTTGTGTGTTGGCAGAAAGCTCCAGGAGTTTAGATACCAACACCTACACCTAATCCATCAACCATCCTTCCTTTCTACAGTATATATGTTTTAACAGTGTACCAAAGAGTGAAAGCCCTTGATTTTTCTTGTATGTTCCCTTGATCCAGGATTTTCCATTGTAGTCCTCCTGGCCTTGAACTTGGAAGCTCTCACGTGCTTTAGTCTCCTGAATACTGAGATTACAGATATGCACCCACAATGCCTGGATGCCCTTCATCTTATATCTTACAAACTAGTGGGAGGGCTTACCAGATACTTACTGAGCACTTGCTCATGAAGGGATGTCTGACTTCAATGGAATTCACTTTTTTTTTTGTGGTCATGGGGCTTAACCTCTGGGCTTAGATGCTGTCCCTCAGCTCTTCAGCTCAAGGCTACTGCTTTACCACTTGAGCCACAGCACCACTTCTGATTTTCTGAGTGGTTTATTGGAGATAAGAGTCTCACAGCCTTTCCTGCTGGCTTTGAGCAGCAATCCTCAGATCTCAGCCTCCTGAGTAGCTAGGATTACAGGTGTGAGCCACTGGCACCTGACTCACATTTTCTTTTTTTTTGTAAGACCAAAAATATAGAGGACTTAGTGCTATGTGTTCTGTGCAATGAGTACGTGTGATGCAATTAAGCTCACAGTGAGAGTAGTGTTAAATGCAAATTAAGATGTCAGGTGTACAAGAAAATACCTGAAAGTCCTAGAACAGGAGAAAAACACACTGGTTAAAGAGAAAGACTTACTGTTTAAAAAAGAAAATCTCAAACGATATCCTGAGTTTGTATGTGAAAACTAGAAAGAAAAGACATGTCCCAGTGTCCAATCTCTGAATACAAGGATAATGCTATGATACCTTCATTGATACTATACATTTTTACTTCTTATTTTATGAAAAGATGTAGTGTAATAATAATTGGAGGCAGGTTTAAGGGAAGTAGCAGGTGCCTTGATTAAGCAAGAGGGCATGCTGGGTAAACATGACATAGGGCTTGTTTCACGTCTTTTCAGCTCATTTATATTTATCTGACTCTAGATAACCAGAATGTTGGCTTATAACTGTATAAAACATTAGTTGGTCTTTTCACGAGTTCTTTACCCATGCCAATTATTTTGAAGTGAGACAGTTCTTTGAGTTTACTTCTGTTCTATGACAGAGGCGTCCATTCCAGATTAGTATGGGTCAGAGACCTCACTTTCTCTCTCACCACTTGGTCTTTCCTATGAGAAGACACACTCAAAAGCTCTCCCAGTTCTCTGTACACAGAATTTTTTTTTTTTAAATTTTATTTTATTTGAGAACATACTGTACAGAGGGGTTACAATTACATGGGCAGGATAATGCATACATTTCTTACCAAGCATTGCAGCCTCCTCCTTTGTTTACCCTTCACCTCCCTTCCCAGCCTCCCCCCTCCCCCCCACCCAATCATACCCCCCCCCCCCCGACATTGTAAAGCTGGTTTTGACATGACATTTTTGTACACAGAAGTTTTTATCCACTGACTATCTTATGGTTTTTGTTCTCTAATAGGGTCAGATTTCTCAAGCAAAGCCTTCAGTGACCATATCTGTTATTATCTATAATATGATTTTTGCCCAGGCAGCTAGTGATTTTCTCTTCTCCTGCTTGAGACCTTGGGTATAGGGATGCCACTGACCTTTCCTTCTTCCTTCCCATTTTCTTTCTTGTCTTTCTAGAGCTGTGCTTCCTCAGCCTCCAATCTGTTCATTTTCTACTCCATCATTATATGGAGAACTTCCTCAGGACTGTCTCCTTTTTTGAAATAGCACCACAACCCTCATCTATGCTCATAGTTTTAATTACTTTTCACAGATGACCAAAACAACACCTTTAACTTTCACTCTTCTGAAGGGCCGAATCTTTATTTCCATCTGCCCATTTGATAGGTTCCATTGACTTCTCACCATAACCTGTGATGTCTCCAACATGACACAAAAGCCAGTTTCTCATTTCACATCCTATTTCAACAAATGGTAGTCTACCCGGCTTCTCAGACAATCCAGGGAGTCATTATTCTACATCCAGTCAATCACCAAATCCATTCAATCCTCCTTTGAGATATCTCTCAAATCCTCTCCTGCTAATACATTCTCTATAAGGCAAATCTCACAATTTTATTCTCTTGGTTGGAAGCTTCAAGGTCTTCCCCTTCCATCTTGAACTAAGCCTTCTTCTCTAAACTCATTCCAGATAGCCAGCTCACTAGGCTTTGCTTGAACTATCTTGTTTCATTTCTGAGTTCTTATTATGTTCTTGACTTTGGGGTCTTTGTGTTATTCATTTTGTTTGAAGGGAACTCTCTTTCCTATTTGTCAGCTATTTGACAATTACCATCTCTTCTGGTCCCAGCTTGAACATCAACTTACTAAGGTTATATACCCCTGGAACACGCAATCTGCTACTCCCTCCCTCTCCCTTGCACCTTTTAAACATTCCTCACATTTGTAATTAGTAGTTGTTTAGTTCTACAAGCTTTGTGGTTCAAGGATCATATCTACTTTATACACAGCAATTTGCCAAGCACCTATGTATGGTTTAAAAAATTCAGTGAATAACAGTTGAGAAGAAATGCTTTAATTGTGGTATGAGCAGAAGACATAGTTATACAGAGCAAGTGGACTGTGAGGGTGAGAAGAAATAAAAGAATGGGGTGAGGTGAAGTACAACAATGTTTAACACTAGTCAATTCAACTTAACAAGGCCAAAAGTAAAGAGGAAAAATAGTTAACTTACCAAAACATTGCAGTGAGATGGATCTGTAACTATAATTGTCAATCTAGTTAAAATTTTAATTGGTCTTGATTTCCCCTGTAAACAAAAAAAAGCTTAAATAAAAAAGCATAAATTCCTGTTTAAGTGGAAAGCACTCATTAAAAGGCACTGGCAGGGGAAAATGGGGAAGAACACTGGAAGGGGTGACCACAGTGATCAAGATGCATTGTACTCATGACCTGACTTATGGAATTGTAACCTCTTTGTAGCCTAGCTTCTATTCTCAAGGAGTTTTCAATACAACCAGAGGAAACATAAAATAGGTCTATTAAACTACATATAATAAGATCAGTTAAAAGTTGTAGGGCAAGTGGGTGTTGAGCTCAAGCCTGTAATACTAAATAATTGGGAGATAGAGATCATGATTTAAGCCCAGCAAAGAATAAACAAGTTTCCTGAGATGCCTATGCCCAGCTCAATCAATAGCTGGGTGCTGGGTGTAGTGGCATGCACCTATCATTCCCAGTGACACAAGGAAGCACAAGCAGGACTGAAGAACAAGCTAATCCAGCCTAAAAGAAAACCAGTGAAGAAAAAGGTTAGGGGCATGGCTCCAGTGATATAGTGACTGCCGGAGAAGTTGAAGTCCTTGAGTTCAATCCCCATAGGGAAGGCTGGGAAGGGGGAAGGAGTTGTAGGGATTTCAGGAGGATACTGAGTGGATAAAGAATATTTCATGAAGAGCTGAGCCTTGATAGAAAGGCAAAACTGGTAAGCAGAGGGTGGTATATTCAGGTGATGCTACTGTACTCATGCAGACTACCTTCAAAGTGAATGCTTCTTCGATATCAAAACGCCTACCTGTACAATTGGCAAAGTGGTGAAGAGCTCAGAAACAGCTACTGGTTTTTCAATTTCCTATAACAAATAAGAAGAAAAGTCACCCCAAATTGTATGTGTTTAAGGCATGAGTCTAAGAAGGACTTAAGGAAAAAAAAATAAAGTTAATTTCTGGCATTCTGGCATTCAAAATAGACTAAGATTTTCCTTTTATTTCTACTTTAAAGAAAGGAAACTAATAATACCAGTGGATAAAAGGATTAAAAGCAATTTTTTAGACAGAAAATATAAGGCAGAGTTCTTGGTAGGCCTATTGAGAAATACGTGTGTGTATTTACTAGCCAAGAGGAAAATTAATGTGTCTATAAGAAAAAAAAATTAATGAGCACAAAATACTGTGGTTACAGTTCAGTTAGTAACAATGCTTAATATTTGTAAACATGACTGAACAAAATTTAACACCAATTCAACTTGGAGAATCCTAATATCATGCCAGAATGAACCACAAAAATATTAATCATTTGCATAAGTACATACTAGCTGACTTGCTAACATAAAATAATCATGTAAGAGTGCACAAAGAGTGAATTTAAGAAATACACTCATTGTAGCTTCCATATTCCCAATATAAACACAGTAATTATAAATACTTCATACATATTAACTTCAAATTTTTTTTACCTGTTTCTTTTCCTTAAAGTCAACAATATGATTGATGGCAACAACTGAATATCCAACTGCAAAAAAAAAAAAAAAAAAAAAGAGAATATTCTTGTGAAACAGTCTCCATTTTGCACATACTAATCATTCGAATTCTAGATATAAAGACTAGAGGATAAGGCTGGGGATTTAACTCATGTCCAATGAATGTTTGCCTAGTATACACCAGGCCCTGAGTTTGATCCCCAGTATTGGAAAGAAAAAACTAGGAAGCAGTTTGGCAGAGAAGTTATGGGTGAGAACTCTGATTGCTTCCAAATCTAAATATAACTAAGTTACGTAAACGTTAGATTTTAGGTTCTCCATCTGTATCATTCCTATGTTACACTTTATTATACCCATTTAAGATGCCATTTTGGCCAGTAAAAATTTAGTACAGAAATTATTCCTAAAGTCTTCATCTGTTGTCTTAGGAGAAACTCCCCAAGTAGTTTTTGGTGTACTTTTCACTTATATAGCATATATGTGAAGCTTATCATTATTGTTTTTCTTTTGCCTAATTTTTAATGTCACATCATAAACAGAGCATTGGATCTTGGTCTTCCTTGTTTTTTAAAATCAGTCTCCTGGGCTGGGAAGGTGGCTCAGTGATAGAGCGCTTGCCTTGCATGCATGAGGCCCTGGATTCGATTCCTCAGCACCACATAAACCAGAAAAAGGTAGAAGTGGCACTGTGGCTCAAGTGGTAGAACGCTAGCCTTGAGCTGAAGAGCTAAGGGACAGCGCCTAGGCCCAGAGTTCAGGCCCCATGACTGGACCCCTCCTTTCCCCACAAAAAATCAGTCTCCTTTCCTCGTGTGTGTGTGTGTGTGTGTGTGTGTGTGTGTGTGTGTGTGTGTGTGTGTGCGCGCACGCGCGCGCGCGTGCACGCGCTTGAATTTAGGGCTTCCTATCCTTGCTCTTGCTTTTCGCTCAAAGCTGGTACTCTACCACTTGAGCCATACCTTCAATCAGTTGTTGTTATTGTTTTTGTTTTGCTGGTTAATTGGACATAAGAGTCTCTGAGACTTTCCTGACTGGCCTGGCTTTAAACTTCTATCCTCAGGTTGGATTGCAAGTGTGAGCCACTGGCTCCCAACTAGTCTCTTACCTTTTGCCTAATAAGTTGAAGTGATTTCCTGTCACCTGTCATGAATTTCATTTTAAAGAACTACAGACTGGCTAAGAATGTACATGCTTTTACACATTTCTTTCAAGCCTATTTAAATTATGGCAATTCTCTAAAAAAATACAACTTGTAAAATTTATTTTTTAAAGGTATTTCATTTATTTCACAAGTATTAATTGAGTAACTATCATGAGAGGTGCTTGCTGAGTGACTTTACAGAGTATTGCAAAGAAGTAGAATGACTAACACATAGACCCTTTCTAAGGATGCTTATGTATTCATTGAGAGGACAGCTGAGAAGGTAATACTTGCAACAAGCAGCGTCCAAGTACATTCATTTTGTAGGAACTGCTAGGAATACTAGCACTTTACAGTTCTGGTCATTGAATCTATCTTTTTCAATTGATAAAAGAAGTATACTGCAAAGAACAATGCTAATTAGTGGCTATTACAGATAGCCCTTCTGCTGACACAGTTGGCTTTGCATAGGTGCACAGGGACAGAAAATATGAGGAGGGCTGAGGGTCCGACTGTGCCTGTATTGATCTTATACAACCTTTTCCCCCTTGTCCATATTACCTAAACACTACATTATAACAATTATTTATTTATGTAGCATTTTCATCCTATTCTATATCATAAGGAATCTAGAGATGGTTTACAGGAGGTGTGCAGATTATATGCAAATACTATATAGAACCCTTTAGTATCTGTAAATTTTGGTGTGTGTGTGTGTGTTGGCTCTTGGCTCAATCCTCTTGCAGACAGAGAGGCAATGGGAGCAGAAAAAGTGCCTGGCTGGGCAATCAGGGCAAGGCCCCTTCTTATAGTGCTTCTTCATCCCTCACCAAGGCCTTGAGCAATCCTGTATGCAAGTCTCTAGATACTACAGATCACCATGGGCTTGAGCAGTTGCACATGAGGCCCTTGGTCATTGAGTCATGGCCCATTACCCCTGGAAAACCTGAAAGTGAACCAAGTGGTACACCTTAAAGGGGCATCCAGTCAAAGAGACTGAACAATGCTTGAGACATTTGTGCAAGATGCATGGAGACTCTGGGGACTGATAGGACTTGCAGGCTGCCCAATGATCTTGAGAGTCAAATAGCTTTTTCCTGGAGACACCTTGATATTAACCTCTGAATGACATAACCCAGACAGTGCATTTCCACCTCTGCCCTTGTAACCCCTCCTATCTAGAAGGGGCTCTGCTCATCTTTTTCTTTAATAAATTTTGCAAGTTTACTTCTCCCTCTGGGTCCTGAACTCATTTTTAGAGACCATAGAGACAAAGGACCTGATCCAGGTGTTGCCGCTTTTCAGGACGCCTGTACTTCATAACGGTGACAAGAAGAAACGGTGATGCACTTGGCAGAAAGTGGTTGTTTTCTAGCTTCGCCTCTGCAAAGTGCCAGCACTCCCACAAGGAGTTGTGGTCCTTTCCTGTCCTCCGCCCCTCACCACCCTCCTCTTCCTCTGTCACTCTCTGACCCTCCACACCACACTCGGCCGGTGTCCCGACTCCCTGCACGAGCCCAGATACTGTCGCCAGGGTCAGGAAGCGGTGGTGAAACGCAAAGCACTGGTTGATGACTGAACCTCGGGGAGCCCGGCCCGGCCTGACATCTCCCGCTCACAGCTGTGGGGTCTCCTTCGGGCCTGCTCCCTCACTGCGCGGGGGCAGGCAAACGAGAAGGGACAGGAACCCGTCTACCAGAACTTTCCCACGAGGGCTCCACAGCGGCCCGAGCCTGGCGTCAGCCTCCCTCCCTGACATCTCAGACACCCCAGGAGAAACCTGAACAAGAAGCCTGGAAGATCTGCAGAGCAGAGCCCGACGTGAGCGGCGAGGGGCCAGCGCTGCGACCTCCGAAGCCGGCCACACTCACGGTGAGCAGCGGTCTCGACTAGTCCGCGAAGGGCTTTCACATCAGCACCCGCTCTCAGGTCCAAATCTGCAAACACCGCCATGCTGACGTCCCAAGAACTCCCGCGTGTCCCGGTCTGTGCAGCCTCCGTACCTCCCCTGGGCATGCTGGGAGTTGTAGTTTACTTACAGCGTTACCCGTAACGCCGACCCGGAGCATGCTGGGAGTTGTGGTTTACTCGTGCATCCTCCTCCCCATTCCCAATCCAATTGTTTTAAAAATCTCAAACTGCCTTGGAAAACTCAAGAGTAAAGATAAGCATTAGGGTGGAACCCTAGAATTTGGGATTAAGGGATCTCGAGTTCGGGGCCAACGTGGGTTATATGCTGAGAGGGAGACCCGGTCTCAAACAGTCCCACCCTAAAAAAAATGGGGTTCACAAGAAGGTGTATGTGATCCACTTTAAGACCTCAACCCAACTGCCAGGTAAAAGTTGTGTCTCCTCTCTTCTCCTTTCTCCCTCTCCCCTCCTCTTTGTTTCTTTTTCTTTTTCTTTTTTTTTGCCCCGTGAATTCCTATGATCTTAGATTCCTGAATAGGATTACAAGTGTGAACCACCAGTGTCTGGGTAGACATCACTTTTTAGACTCACATCTAATTAAAAATTAATCGAGTCAAATTAATTCAGGTAGTCAGCATAGACTACTTAAAAATGTTCGCATGTTTCAATCCAGAGATCTGTAACATTATCCCATTTCAAACTATTTATATTAGCATTTGCAATCAAAGTAGCTCTGAGCCAAGTATATGAATCATGGTGCAATAATACTTGTCATGAACACAAAGACATTGGGTTTGAGTTTAATGCTTATTGCACTTACTTATTTTGATTTTTTTACAGTAGTTAACAGTACCCTATATATATATATATATATATATATATCTCATATCTATCTATCTATCTATCTATCTATCTATCTATCTATCTATCTATCTATCTATCTATCTAAATTGTAAACAAGAGGTAACAGAGGCTTCTAGAAACTGGTTTTCTTTAAGGTTTCCCATGTGATAGGCATCTGAAATACTGTAGAAAAGTGTGTGTGGTGTCCTCATCTCCCTGCTGCTAGTTGGGTTGTTTTGTTACTTATTTTGATTTTTGTAAGACTTTCCTGATGTAATTAATGTGTAAGTTGTTAATTTTGAAACATATTATGAACAAATTCAAAACATTTGTGGATATACACAAGATGCATTTTGGTTTGCAATAAATTTACCCAATAAATCTTTATGGATCACTTACAATTTTTCAGACTATAGTTACAGTATGTGTAAAATGTTAATTCTCTTGTGGCTAATAGTTTGAAAGGCAATATAATAAGCAAAATAAACTCAGACTGTGAAAAGTGTTGTAATACAGTAAATCATAGCAACATGAGTGAAAAAAATAATTAGGGTGGTTTTATGTAAGCTATAATGTATAAAAACATCTGAATATACCTTTTAGCCGTCATTTCAATGCATTGAAATATATACTGATGTCTAAAAGGTAATCTATAATGGCAGGAAATTTAGGGGAAATAGAAATCAAAGCAGTGGCTAGAGTTTTAGGGAGCTACTGAGTTTGGAATGAGATTGACAGTGAAAGAGGGAGAGGGAAGCAAAAAATGGGGCTAAGGGCTTTAGTTCTGATATTTCCTCTGGAGAATGTATTTAACTCTATCATTGCAATAAATCGATTTCTTTTCCCTCCTTTCCTTTCTCTGTCTTTCATTTTCTTTCTTTCCCTTTCTCTTTCTCTCCTCTTTCTTTCCTTTCTCTCTCTCTTTTCAAGTGGTTAATATATCTTTTTAGTAATTTTTAAATTTTATTTTATTGTAAAGATGATGTACAGAAGGTTTACAGTTACATAAATAAGGTAATGAGTACATTTCTTTTTGAAGTGTTACCCCCCCATTCCCCTCCCACCTCGTTTTCCTCCCCCACTCCCCTCCCCCACAAGATGTAAAGTTCATTTCCATTATGGTGTCTAGTGACTATCGCTGTTGCATTGGTTCACCCTTTGTCCCACCGTTTCTATGATTCCCCCTTTCTTTCTTTCTTTTTCTTCCTTTCTTTCTTTCTTTCTTTCTTTCTTTCTCTCTCTCTCTCTCTTTCTTTCTTTCTTTCTTTCTTTCTTTCTTTCTTTCTTTCTTTCTTTCTTTCTTTCTTTCTCTTTTCTTTCTTTCTCTCTCTTTCTTTCTTTCCTTCCTTCCCTCCCTCCCTCTCTCTCGCTTTCTCGCTTTTTCTCTTTCTCCCTCCCTCCCTTTCTTTTTCTCTCTCTCTTTCTTGCTTTCTCTTTCCTTTCTCTTTTTGTTCTTTCTTTTTTTCTCCTCCTCCCCTTCTTTCCCCTCCTCTCTTCTATTCTCTCCTGTCTTCTCTTCCCCTCTCCTCTCTTCTTTTCCTTTTCTTTCCACAGTAGGAACTGGCAAACTGCTACATTCACTTGCTCTTCTCTGTGGGTCTTTCCCCATTAAGATCGGGTGCGGTATCTGTTGCAGGTAACATCGCCAACCACAAGGTGGCAGGGCTCTCTCGAAGATGAGCGGTTAGCGCACACCTTGGTTTAGGAAAGGGATTTGACAAAGAGCAACATTCAAGTGTTTTAGTCTTCTGAGAAATATGCAAGTGGTGTACATTCCACTCATTTGATGTTTCCACTTTTTGAACATTATATAAATGGACTCTTGAATTATGTGATAACATAAAATTGTAGGATTACTGTAGAGTGGAGGAAGCACCCCAGTGTTTCTCAAACTGCGCACTAAGAAAGGGTAGTTCCCTTTCCTCACTACCAGCAGTTCTTAGCTGACATGTCCCCTAGCATTACCCAATAAGCAGCTCCAGCCCCATGCAATTCACCAACACGCTGTCATCACATGGTAAGGAAAAAAATGCATCTTTACAAAAGTAAATAGAAAAGTCCTCACATCAGAGATCATAGATGAAGATAATGCCAATGTGCTAAAAATCCTTCTACATGCTTTCAGTTTCTGTACAGCAGATCCTTGCTATCTGACTATTTGGTTCAAAGGAGATTGCAGTTGAGATAAAACCAAGAATGCTCAAGATGCACAGGACTCAAGAGCTACTGGGGATGCTTGGTTCATTTTCCTCATACCATCACCCAACTTCTGCTAAAGACTTACAGCCTTTTCAGTGTACTATTTAAGTTAAACACAGTAACTCTGTGTGTGTGTGTGTGTGTGTGTGTGTGTGTGTGTGTGTGTGTTCTGGGGCTTGACGTTTGGACCTGGGCACTGATCATAGCTGCTTTACTCAAGGCTAACACTCTACTACTTGCGCCACACCTCTCATGGTCTTTCCTGCCCATGCTGGCATTGAGCTGTGATTCTCCGATCTCAGCCTTCTGAATAGCTAGGGTGACTGCAGTAAACCTCTGGTACCCAGCACATTAACTTTTATCTTGCTTTATGAGCATTTTCTTTTTTTTGGAGGCATATTTTCACAATATTAAAGGCGAGGAAATAACAGGTCACACAACTTAAATACAGGACTGACTTGAGAGCTTCTCTGCTTTTATCTTTCATTCCATGCTGAAATGACCAGAAAAAAACCACCTACCTTATGGAGCAGTCTGTTCTCTTCAGTCTATTTATTAGAATATTAATCTCATCCTGAAATGCACTCACAGTCACCTAGAAAAATATTTGACCAAATATATGCTCCTGTCCATGCCTGTCAAGTTGACAAATAAAATTAGCCAACCAGTGATGCTGTTGCATGCTGATAAACAAAAAAATCACTCACACAACAAAACTTAATATCACAGTCAAGCTTACAAACATTGTTTGTTGAAGACAAACAAAAAAGCAGTGTCTCAGCAGAAACTAGCACTTATAAATGTAGCACTTATAAGTTCTATTACTCAGCATGTTGCAGTATGGTTTGGAATCTGCAGATCGAATTACATAAAAATGAATTTATTTCTGACATTTTTTCATTACAATTGACAAGTGAGTAGATACCCAAAAGCTATTTGTGTTGTTGAGAATTTTGACACAACTAGAAATCTTTTGGAAATGGTACTCAAAAAAAGGGCACAAGATTAGAAATGGCTTATTTTTGTGTAGGGAGAAGATGTTTTTGAGAATTTAAAAGTAGCTTCCTCAGAGTCGGTAACCATGACTACAGATGGAATTCCTACAGGGGTCAGTGTGCACATCAGACTTAGAAAACATAAGCACAATGTGACAGGATTTTATTGAGACACAGAATTTAGGCCAATTTATTATACTATTGACCAGAAGAATCCACCTTGGGCTTTAAATTGAACACACACACACACACACACACACACACACACACACACACACACACACACAGAGCTAAGGTCTCGACAATGGTTCCCACACAATTCATGCTCTGTGTATCTGTAGTAAATTGTGAGGGATTCTGAGCAATAAAGTGAGACTCACTCACAAATGTCATCAAGCTGAAATATCGATCTCAGATCATCAGTGAAGACCAGATTTGCTTCTTTAGTTGATAACAAATAACCCCTTTAAATACTTTGAATACTTCTTTCAGAAGAAAAACATAGAAACTGATTGGTTCATAAATAGCAAAAAGTGTTTCATTGGAAAACTCATCTGGCTAGAAATGATCTCATCTATTTTTTGTACTGCAACTGGTTTCCAGATATGAAAATTATGAATGGACTTCATATGGCACCTCCAAATTATGCAATAGAAGATTATGGTCCCCAAAGACTTCTCATTTAAACCTTTACATTTCGGAAGTGGCACTGTAGCTCAAGTGGTAGAGCGCTCGCCTTGAGCTGAAGAGCGCAGGGACAGCGCCCAGGCCCAGAGTTCAAGCCCCATGACCACCAACAACAACAAAATAAAACAAACAAAAAAAAATCCTTTACATTTCATTATCATATTGCTTATTTTTGCTTTTCGCTTAGTAATAGTTCAAATGAAATTTACAAAGAGAAATTGTTAACTGTAGGGCATAAAAATAAGATTGGAACAGTACAATTTAGCAAATATCTTGTATATAGTTAGCCTAAATTGAAGGCTAGCAAGCTGTGGCTCGGAGGCCATATTCACTTTGATACCTGTTT